TTTTATTTGATCGCCCTTTTTCATAACTGCATTCTTTTTTCCAATACTAATTTATTTTTTTTTTCTTTTGGCTTGAATTTGCATCCAAAATTTTAGTGTGCTACTAACTTTTTTTATGTTGTTTTTAATAATATATTGCTAGCTTTTCTATAATTCTTGACTTTAAATGTGTTAAAATTTACATATTTTATATTGGAAAATTTGTCATTTTTATCTGGAAAAGTCAGGGAATTTTAAAATATATTTTCTGTGGCAATCCTGATTTTAATAGAGCGAAAAAAGTTTTTTATTTTTTCTCTTTTCAAATACTATTAAGAAATCTCATTCAATGCTTTTGTGCTTCCAAATTTTGTAATTATTAGACTATACTGGGCTTAGCAGAACTGCACTTAAGCGCTCTCTTTTATTGTTTTTTTTTTTTTTTACTATTCTGAATTCTTACAAATGTGCGGAATATTTTTGTTACATTAAATGTTTCCTCACAGATGCAAAAATATATTTCTGCTGAGCATAACCAGAGCATTGAGAATGTTTTATGGAGCAACCTATGATACGGAAATTGCTAAAATAATTGTCTCTGCGGCTACAATGGACATGATTAAAAACATATTCGATCTATTGAATCAAGATGACAATTGTAATTACGATTGTAATGAAGATCCTAACACTTATCAGGTAAACAAAGAAATTAACTTGTTTTTGTGTAACAAAGAAATTGTTTTTAATGAACGACTGTAACATCGTCTCAGGGAAGGCGCAAGCGGAACGCCAGCATGTATCTGGAAACATCAGACCCAAAGCCAAACCATTCGCGTGAGGGCGTGATTCATCTGCAGATCGTAGAGGCTTTATCATCCTTCTGTGCTTTACACATCGACGCAAATCACAGCAAGTCCACGTTGCAGAAAAAGATGATGCATAACTTGCTGACTATGCAGCAGGACTTCACGAGCTATGTGGATTCCAGAATGTCACTGCTGATCCTCGAGTCGCTCATTGCACGCGATCATGATGAGATCCAGCGCGAGTGCGCGGATACGCCGTTGGAATTTCTGCTGGAAGTATGCCAGGAAGGTTGCAAAGATGAGGAATCGTTGCGACAGCTATTAAATCTGCTACCGTATTTCTTCGAGTACGCGATTAAATATGATTATTCGCCCAAAACGTTCGTTCATGCGCTTGAACAGCTCCATAAGCGTATTTGTAATCGAAACTGTAGCGTTCTTGTGCATACAAGCTACATAAAGTGCGTATGCAGTTTCATTCGGATTGATCCGAATTTCTCCTGGAGTAGCGTTTACATTTCCGATGATGACGTTTTGATGATACTGGACAGCATCCTTAATTACATTGGTGATCCACTCTTTATACTCCGGTCGCAAGCAGTGCAATGTCTGCAAGAGATCCTATCTTTCAGAAACGTCGCTCATATATGGAAGGAACGTATCTTCATCAAGGTGAAGGAAACAGTGTTCAAGCTGCTCGATGAGGCGGAGCAGTCGAATTCTAACTTACAGAAGTATGAACATTATAATATATAGTTTAAGAGAGATATATAGATTTAATACCAGTATTAAAATAAATTAGATAGCAATATTATAAACTGTTTTTTTATAAAAACTTATAATATTAGATGTTAAACTTAATTCCTGCCGTTTTTCGTCTCCAAAATTAATTTGTTTCGAAGGGAGATACCTTAATCAAAGTATTATTAATAAAGTATTATTAATTAGTAAT